GTGTGGGAACAAGACTGTGAACGTGTACGTATGCCCTCGTAGTGAGCGTCTAGATCGGCGTGGCTGTTGATGCTGGTTGTGCAAGAATGTCAAGCTTCGAGGAATTCTCGCGCCTGTCTGGTGTCAGATCTTGCGATCACTTCAGTACCGTCCCAGTTGAAGCGATGGTCATGTTCAAGGGCGTGCGCAAACACGAGGGACAGAGGGTCACGTTGGCGGAGGGCTAGATTGTGCTCGTTAATGCAAGTCCCAAGACATCGGCCTGTATGGCCAAAATAAACAGAAGGGCAGTTGGTGCACGGTATACGGTAGATGACGTTGCCATGTATTTGCGCAGTCGAAGGTGACAATCCCGGATACGAACCCGAATAATTCTGCTTCCGTGTTGTAGAACTGTTTGCCTACCTAGCTGGGTGTTGACAGGGGATTTATACGAGAGGCATCTCGGCAGAGTGAGTCTAGGCACCTGTGTAGGAACCTCATTTGAGCGTACGTTGAAGCCTGTCGACAGGAGAAGGATTCACAACGACGTGCTGATTTAAGCGCTTCGCGCCCGAAATGTATTCCGAATGAGTTGCGAAAATTCCCATTGTATTCCGAATGATAGAGAACACGCGCGGCCAAGGTAATTGAATAGAAGAAGATGGGAAGGCGATCACTGGGACCAATTGTTTATTTATCCGACGTTTCGAACTCTCACGCAAGCCCATCGTCAAGGAATGAAAAACTGTACAGCTCATCGTGTATTTAGCCCACCTTTGCCGGGAGTGACCTCTAGCTGCGCTGCTGATTTGCTCACACAGTGCTTGATAGGCGGTTGGCAGATCGATATGTCGATTAATCGAGTCCTTGGCTGACTGCCATGCTTCCTGCAGCAGGCGAGCAACTCGGTCGTCCGACTGCCCTAATATTCTCACGCTCTGGAAGTTGAAGTCGTGTCCTCGTGTAGAGGCGTGTGCGGCTACCAAGGAGAGTTTATCCTTCCATTTCACAGCCAACTCGTGTTAGTACAATCTCGTGCGTACCTGTTTGCCGGTGTCACCAACTTAATTGGCTTGACCACAACTGCAGTCTATCCGGTAAATGACCGCCGATTGCTGATTAATGGGAATCGGGTCCTTAGGGTGCATGAGTCGCCGGCGTATTGTTGCCTCAGGTCTGTGCGCGACACCAATCCCAAATTCGCTCATCATTCTAGCGACTTCTTCTGACACATCGGCTATGTACGGTACTGCGCGCCAACATTTCGGCTTTAGTTTTCCTTTAGGTTGTCTTCCCCGGGTTTCTCACCTTCACTTTTCGACACCATTCCCAGGGTAGCCTTTCATTGTGAAGAGTTTCCGCAGGATCTGAACCTCAGCCTTCTTGTTGGCTGGCTCGGTGCAATGGGTTTCTACACGCCGGTAGAGTGTTCGCACGCAGCTGCGTTTGTGCGAGAGAGGGTGGTTGCTATCAAAACTTAGAATACGGGAGATATTCGTTGCCTTCCGTTAAACCGTTGTTTTTAGTGCACCACCAACTTTTCTCTGAACTAGTACGTCCAGAAACGGCAACTGGCAATCATTTTCTGAGCTCCAACTGGGACTATTTTGACGTAGATACCACTTCACAGTTACCGTCTCTTAGGTTGCCGCTGCAACTGTACGTACCAAATTTCTTTCTGCGTCTTTGGAAACTTTTTTTTCGCGTGGAAATTTATCAGAAGTCCGTCTCTAAGCGCAGATATCGGCCTAGGAAAACAAAATCGTAGACACCCAGGAAGATCGGGAGTTATTCAGGGCCTTCGATATTCTCAAAACGGCTGATTCACTCCTACATATATGTCATACCGTTCATACATCGACTTTTTAAAAAATAGGCTTATTTTCGACCATTTGATTTCGAATATTTGCCATACTCCATCGTACACAGTCGTACTTACCAGTTTGAATCTCGAAAGCGAATATAAACTTACAAAACAACGAAACTCATGGACACAGAGCAACATTTTGGTAGTTCCACGACCAGGACCGGCATTATGCATGAATGAAGGTCTATTAACATTGCCTTGCCTCCCAGGATTAGCGCTCGCTCTCTTTACAGTTGCACTCAGGGGCCCGCAAAGCGCGCTAAAATCGTAACCACAGCAAAATCTGTTAGTTACGAGGACGAGCCGTGCACTGAGTGCTCCTTTATTCTGCTGAAAGTCCAAAACTTGAAGAAGAGCTGGCTGCATTAAAAGAACTCGTGCAAGCGAACGATGGTAGGCAAAACTCGGTAAAAAGCGCTAGAGTCAGCAAGAAAAGGGGAAGAGAAAAACTCCAAAGCAGCCAAAGAACAGGGTTAGTGGAAAACCTCAGTGCAAGGACACCGATACTAATGACGATAGGCAAATAGCAACGGAGTCTCCTGTTTCTACGGAAGACAACCGAAGCGAACC